CATGTATTAGACATTTTGCATTAGGCAGCCTACTGATGCTATGTTGCGGTTCCCAAACGTTACCCAGTAAAGGAAGAAAACAGCCTGAGTAATGCCAAGGACCACTGATTCACATGGACTGGAAACTTAAGAGAAGCAGAAAAGGGAGGAGGAATACAGCTGGCCTGGACAACATTGCTCTTGAATATACTTGACCTGTTTTAGTTGAAGTAATTCTGCTTGCCTCTAGCAACAAGCATTTCCTAATGTATTTTACCATTACATGCATCCTTTACTAGTTACTGAATGGTGTGTGTAGGCTGGCTTCCATGCAGTTCTCATTTAGGGCATCCTTTTGACTCTAAATAACTGCCTCAGCACTTTTTTTTTTAAAGGATAGAAGTATGTGGATTTTCAAGATTACTTATGTAATTCCGCAGAGCAAAAAGAGATCACGTTTGAGATCCATCAGCTGTGGTACAGACCCTGGAAGCTACTCTGAGATATGTTTTAGATATTTACGATGTTCTGTCAAAGACCATCTGATTTTGTTTATTGCCACGGAGTCTGGGGCTCTGCTGATATAAAGCAATCCTAAAAAAATTGGCAAGATGCTTAAGACAAATGACTTGTTTCCTTAAGTACTGCTATTAAAGAATAAAATTAGACAAAGTTGTTGCTCATTTACAGCTGTCCTTCCTCAGCTTAATCTTGAGTACGAGATGCAGAGTCTTACTGGGCTGTTACTGTCCCACTGGCACTGCCCCTCAGTTCTCCTGAAAACGTGGCCTTAGTGAAATGCTTCAGAACGAGTTATTTTCAAAAAACGTTTATAAATTCCCTCTAGAAATCTCCCTCTTCTTTTGCTGGCTCATGCTACAAACCCATATGCGTTAATTTGGAAGTGGCGTATCTGCGATTGTTCGTTACTCGAGATAGCCCTTGCTGGTTCCCCAAAAATACAACAGCAAGAACAAGCCCCAGGAGCTGGGGCACCAGTGATGGCTGCCTGGCCCCATGGATGATCCTCAAGCCTGACCTGGTAGGACCTGCTAAAAGAGTGAGATAGGGGCCCTGGGGGATTGCCGGCAAGTCACCAATTAATACTAATTGCATGGGAAATTATTGTAATGCCGCGATGGTTCATCAGGGACCTGGAATGAGTTCATAGCTGTGCTGCGCCCTAGGGCTGCCTGTCCCTTGATGTTTGCTTCTGGAAGCAAACACATTGTTGCTTGCTGCTCCATTCAGTTGCAGGGTTTTAAGATCTGAACTATAATTAATGTGGAGGAATCTGAAAACAGCTACTGTCTATCGTGGAGCTTGGCTTGGGAATATTTGAGTTAAACTGTAAAATTCCAAGTGGTTTCAGCAGGGATCATCACCAGCCCCTCTGGAGCTGGGCCACATGGCTTCTTGTTTTCTGAGAGGAAAGAAAGCAAAGCTGAAGTTAGGTGAAACGTGTGCAATGTGCACACGATAGTCCTTTCCAAACAAGAAAAATACAGACGTCTGATTTTAAAAGGGCTTTCTGCTTTGCCTCTCTGATTTCCAAGGGGAGCTTTGCAGAAAACCGGGATTTAAGATGCTGCTGTCTTCCCCCCTTCCTCGTGACAGCTGTAAACATCTGCTGAGGATGTCATTCATTGTCTCATCCTACAGTCGCTCGTTAAGATCGTGAAGCATCATGCCTCCTTGAAAATTAAACTGGCAACGCTGCGGGGAGGGAGCGAGCAGCCAGCGTGCTCAGAGGCTCTCCGGAGTGCGGTTTCCGAGTGGTGCCAGAGCAGCCCCCGCATCCCTGCTCCGTCCCGGGGATAACGCCTCAGCAGGGAGGGGAGCTTTCCCCGCCGGTTTGGGAGGCTGGGCAGGTGGGATGTGTAAAGCACGCTGCTGTGTCGTCGCACGGCGGTTTCGCCCCTCCGTCCTGCTCTCCAAAAGGCAGTCAGGGCTTCAAGTCATAAATTGCATTTCATGTAACTCCTCCCCATTTCGGCTGCTTGCTCACGCAGCCACCCACGGATCTGAAACAAAAATGTGCGAAGCGAGGCAGGGAGCACTCACACCAGCGCGGATCTCATCTCCCCTCTAGGCGCCGGGATGCCCGTCCTGCGCCCTCTTACTCCTCCTGAGCATAACGAAGCTTTGGCTCATCACAAATACATAAGCGTTTTTTCTCCCATCCGTTCTCATCAGCCTGTACTCCAAGAAGAAGTGAGATAAAAAAAAAAAAAAAAAAAAAAAAAAAGGCTTAAAGAGTTGACGTGGAAGTGACAAAAAAAGAAGTGGAACTTTGCAGTGCTACGTTAAGAGTTGAAGTAGAGTTGGCGATCACATTTCATATGGAAAATTGTGTTTCAGACTTTGATCTACCATATAAATAATGAAAAGGAAAAGAGCGGCCGAGGACAGGGGTCGAGAAACTCCTAGGGCGGCATTAACGGCGAGAGGGAGTTTCATAGCACCTCGCTAACAGCTTCCCCTGGTGTCTTCTGCACAATGCAGAGGGGGTCCGGCACGAGGAGTCCTTGCTAGTCGAAGGTAAGGTTTTTATCTTTACAGTAGCACCGGTAGCGCTTGTTGCGATTCGGCTATTAGTTAAAATACGGGTGGTACGACCGGAGGAGAAGTTGTGAAGTCTGCCGTACTCCTTAGGAGAATAAAGCTTCATGGTGGCATCGTGCTGCAGCTGAAGGTTATTGAAGTTTGTCTGTTCCCCTTTATGCTGGCTTAGTGCGCGTTACCAGTAATGGGAAAATCTGTATGTGTTCCCATCAGAGGAAGAAAGGACCATTTAGTCTCCTTCTCCAGCTTTCCTACTTTTTTTCAGCCAGAAGCCACTACGTATATGCCATATTAAATGGATTTTGCTAATAGAAATACATTACCATATAGCCGTTAGACAAGGTAAATCCTTCTTCCTATTCCCAGAGACAGTTCCCCCACCCTGCAGGTACTCCTTGGGGTAGAAAACATCCTATACAGTGGTAAAAAATTAACATTTGTTCCACACACCTCAGCAGAAAGAAAAATCATTGTTGTGTTTATTTTTTCAGCCTCTTTGTAGTAACTGAGATTACACAGACTCTGCTCAACAGATTTTATGGTGGTGTGCAGATACTTCTGTGTTCTTACTCCTTAGATGATATTTTTAGTAGTTTTTAAATTACTATTATTTTTCTGGTTTTAAAGTAAAGGTTTGTTTTGCCTGAGCACTTCTGCAGGTCTTTTGCTGTTCTTACTGCCACCTGTCCCTTGTAATTGTTAACTATATTTTTGAGAGTGTGTGCTGCTATTTGGGGATGATAACGAACGTGGTCTTGAAAGTGCATGCCTTGGAGCTGCAGCCGCTGGTCGTTCTGTCTGCCCAGGGTGACGTGCTTTTGGGGTGAATGGGCTCAGCTGCGGTGGGGACCCCCCGACACAACTCCAGATCTGGAGCTCTTAATGTCACAAGTGGCATTGAAAGATACTGGGGAGTTTTTTTCTTGATTTTTTTCTAAGGTGGAGGGGGGTGTGTGTAAAAAAGAGGAAAGTATGATTTGTGTGCTGAAGATCTTTACTCTTTTCTGCCAGTGCAGCACCGTTCGTTGCATGAAATTCTGGTGAACACAGCTTGTACCTCCTGTTTGCCCGATGGCACGTAGCAGCCCCAGAGGACACACGCTGCTTTTGTGCTCCTGTTGGGTTATAATCCTTAGGGAGCAACTGTTTCAGAGAATAAACACATTGCCTTGCAGGAGAAACTCTGGAAAACATCCTGCTCGTGACAGTGGCAGCCGCTGCCCGTCACGCTGGACATCCCTCTGCCAAAACCAGAGGGGCTTTGCTGGCCAGCCAGCCAAAGGCCAGCAAGCTGTGTAACTGCAAGGCCATCGGCACAGCGGGCCAGCGAGTGAGGATGGCCGGAGGAAATAACGTTTGTCCCCGGGGGAGTGCGAGGCTGCTCACCGCTCGCTCAAAAGGGGGTGCCTGGGTTTATCCTGGCCATCGGCACGCAGGTTTGCGGCATCCCCTTCGTGCAGGCGTGTCAGCCCTGCTCGCCCGAACGCAGCCTCCCAGGCTGCTCGGCGGTGGGGCCGTGTCGGGCACCGGGCGGGCAGGTAATGAGCCCGTTCACCCCCTCCATGGGGGCTTTTGCCGTGTGCCCCTCCTCGCTGAGGGAGGGGGCTCCTCGGCCGGGCAGTGGGGCTGGAGGGGTGGTGCTGGAGCCCGCATCCTGCCGCTTGGACACCAGCGTTTTAACGATGCCCTTCCAGGCAACACCTGCTACAGTAAAGAAGGACATTATAAAGTAATAATAAGCATATTTAGACCTGTTCACGTTTTGGGTTTTTTTTTCCTATCAAATGAGAGATATTTATGGTCATTACCTCCAGGAGAGAGAGAAGTGAGACCCTAGATTACATTCTGTGCGTCTGAATTATTTTCTTGCGCTTGTCAGGGACCAGCAAGCGTGGAAATCCCAAATCAGAGCTTCCTACACAAGCAAAAAAATGGAACCAGAATAATTAAAGGGGTTGCAATTCAGACCTGTTTTTCAGTGGATGCTTTACTGTAGGCACTCTTACCGGGAAATAAAAATATATGTGGATAAATGTAGTTCTGCGTTAAATCAAACTTGGTGATTTGTCATTGTGAATACACTGGCTCAGACTGGCGTAGAGCCTGTTACTTCATTTCTGCTGCTGTGTTTTAACTGACAAAGTTTCATTCGCTGTTAGTTTAAAAAAGTGGGGCAAATACATCTCCCACACATAAAATTATCCTGCTTAAAGTTCATTTGCTAAATGCTGTGTGCCTCATTTATACAGTGACTCTTATAACCCATTTCCTCCAGAGAATATGACACTAAGCAGGCAGAGTCAATTTAGAATAGATAGCTTTTGCTTACACAGTCAACTTTCTTCTATTGTATATGTTTCTGTAAACAAAAAGACGCAGCAGAGTTTGTGGTGGACGTAAGCACAGGCAGGGCCATTGCGGTAACTTTTTAACCGGCACTTCATCATTTTTTTCAGCACAGAAGCTTTTGCTTCCTCACTGGGAGAGCCTGTATGAAGACCTGCGTGGACGGTGCGGTAAGGTAAGGAATACCGCCACCGAGAGCTGGGGTTTTTAAGTTCTTCTTCCGAATTTTGCATTGCTATGAAGTTCCCATGTGAGAAATTGCTTCACTCTGCATCTGATTTCTTCTCAGAGGGGCTTGCATATGGTGGTCCTTCTTTGTTCAGTAATAACAAATGAGAAAAATTAACTGTTTACTATGTAGATGGTAATATGTCTTAAATGATGTTGAATTTCACTGTTGTATGAAGTTTTATACGTGTCCTCTTTCTCTCCCGCAAGCCTCAAACAGTCCCATTGGGGAAAGGATCGTGCTGTGTGTACCTCTTGGTGCAGCAGGTCCCTGTGCCGCATCACTTGCACTTCATTCAACTTTGAAGTGTTAAATAAAAACAGAAGAGTCTGGCGTGTTTTCTCATTCCCAGAAATACCATCACTTTGTGGCCTTCCCCTGCCAGCTTTAGTGTCACCTTTCCTTCTCAGCTTCACTTCTCTCACCTCCTGCTGGGTAGCAGCCTCCCATCATCTCCGCACCCCTTCAGGCGTGGTGCGCCCAAGGCTTTTATCTGCAGGCAGACTGATGATCAGCAAACAGCATCATTCTGACCTCCTCTCCTAGTTCCTACGTCTGCCGTGCTCTACTCTACCTCACACACCGAGTGAACAAATAAACGGTCAATAAATGAAGAATCTGTTGGAAATGCCATGGCTGGAAATCGTGTAGCTCTTCTGATTTGGGGACCTAAAAAAGAGGCTTTTCTGCAATGCTAGGCAGATTACACAGCCCACATGGATATTATGAAGTCCAGCAATGTTAGTATAGTATAGCTGCGCTGCTGGTTTCCTTAATCTGCTTGTTTAGAGACACACAGAATATTCATCTTAATCATCTGTTTCCGCTGCATAGTAGGTACAGGAGGAAATACCACAGAGAGCTCTGTCACTGAGAAAATGCATCATTTGAATGTGCAATGTAAATATTTTAACTAACCAAATGTAAACACTTTAGGATGGGAAAAGACTGTCGCAGTCAAAAACAAGCTGACATAAGAGTGACCCTGTATAGATGAGATACAAAATTGTGTTCACACATTTTGGTAATCAAAACAGAGCCCTTAACGAATTGCCTAGTGTGAAAGGAATTACAAACACAAATATGCCTGACACAAGATGATCGGAAGTCACTGCTATATTAACATTAGAAGGAAGGACTTTCAGGATTCCTGGGGATCCAAGGTCCATGGGAGGGATGATGTGAGATGAGAGAGATGAGATGATGAGAGGTGTGAGATGGTAAGAGCTAGAGAGAGGCTGACGAGCCTGGAGGAGAATCTAAACTGTAAGTGTGCTCTGAATATCCATGCTTCTTCATGCCTCTGGCTATGACTTGTGTTCACTGTGCCAGGACAGTTAATTCAGAAGTTTCCAAGGGCTGGAGGATGGTAGAGGCATCAAAGATGCCAGATACTGCAAGAAGCGCCACAGCAAGACGTGGTGTGGGTTTTTCAGTTGGTGGATTCAAAGGAAAGCAGAGTTCTTAGGGACCTCAGAGTAGTTGCTCATTACACTGGCTTCATAAGTGCTTGAAGACTTACGGTGAAGTGGTACTTGGTAGAAACCAGACATGGGATTTAACTTCTGGTGCTGAATGTGTCCCTGAAAAATAGTGCTATAGCTAGCATAGGATACAGAATCCTCCAGATTGCACTTGACTTCATTGTGCGGTAGATGCTAAGAAGCAGAGACCCTAAATGGTCTTGGGGCGTTCATCAGATTGCTCAGCAGAAGAAAAATCTGGAGATTATTTCACTGGCTACATGTTCTGGCCTGTTGACGGTTAATATCAGAAGAGGAAGAAACACCGTGGAGGATTTGACTAGACTCCATGGATTGCAAGAAACTAGTTAGATCTTATTTCTGTAGGCACAGGTCTATGTAAGTGCCCAAGCAAGTAAGTTTTCATTACTGGAGTAGCTGGGGGACTTTTTAAAGTTGATTTTTTGCTTGTATTACCAACAATGGGTAAAGTATTAACATCTGCCTCACATTTGCTATTTCTTTGTTCTAACAGCTGGAAATTTACATTTACACATAGGCCTCAGAGCTAAAAATGTCATTCCCTAGGTTAAAAGCCCATACTGATTTTTGTCATTCTCCTTGTTAGGAAAGGAGAACTGGAAACACAGGGAAAAGACAAACGGGAAGGGTAGCCCCTGGATGATAAATGCTTTCAGTTGGAGCACAGATTAATCACAGGTCGCGCAGCCTAAGAGTGTCATTGCCTGCCATTGCCACAGCAATTCAGCTGCAGCCAAATGAGCAAATCTACTACAAGTAAAAATTATCCAAAGAAAGCAGAAGAAACCAAATACTTCAGTCATCAGTAAAGAGAAAACTACAATAACATTTCTTTCAGTATAGAGGAAATTAAGAGCCTTTTTTGTGTGGATGAGAAGTGTTTTGCATAGGTGAGAATAACTTTGACATTATCCTTGAATAAAACTTCTGTTGCTAGAAAATCAGTCATTTTATACAATAACTTCATATAACTATTCTCTCGAATGTAGATAATCCAAATCTTTACCTCCCAGACAGGTATCATAGAATCATAGAATGTTTTGGATTGGAAGGGACCCCTAGAAGTCATCTAGTCCAACCCCCCTGCAGTGAGCAGGGACACCGCTAACTAGATCAGGTTGCTCAGAGACCCATCCAACGTGGCCTTGAATGTTTCCAGGGATGGGGCCTCCACTACCCCTCTGGGCAACCTGTTCCAGTGTTTCACCACCCTCATTGTAAAGAATTTCTTCCTTATATCCAGTCTAAACCTACCCTGGTTTAGTTTAAAACCATTACCCCTTGTCCTGTCACAGCTGGCCCTGCTAAAAAGATTGTCCCCGTCTTTCCTATAGGCCCCCTTTAGGTACTGAAAGGCTGCAATCAGGTCTCCCCGCAGCCTTCTCTTCTCCAGGCTGAACAACCTTAACTCCCTCAGCCTGTCCTCATAGGAGAGGTGCTCCAGCCCCCGGATCATTTTTGTGGCCCTCCTCTGGACCCGCTCCAACACTTCCATGTCCTTCTTGTGCTGAGGGCTCCAGAGCTGGACGCAGTGCTCCAGGTGAGGTCTCACCAGAGCAGAGTAGAGGGGCAGAATCACCTCCCTCAACGTGTTGGCCATGCTTCTCTTGATGCAGCCCAGGACACAGTTGGCCTTCTGGGCTGCCAGCGCACATTGCCGGCTCATGTCCAGCTTTTCATCCAAAGCTGTCATATGTCAACTTTCATGGGAAAGCATGAACACATTCAAAAGAAGGAACTTCATTTTTTCCCTTTAGGACCAGGAAGCTCATATACTTTTGCTAAAGTGCTTTATTGTGTGCTTCCCCACCCCAAAAATAAAAAAAAAATATCTAAAATGTCTTGTTTTAGCACAGCAGAAAACTTAGGAACAGGTTACTTTGTAGTGCTGAACTCATAGCATTGTTTTTCTAAAAGAAAATTGCATTTTTGAAGAAGGGTTTTAGATGGCTGATGAGCGACAGGGAATTTAAGAGGAGGGAAGAGAAGTGCAGTTGAAAAATGTTTGGAATGATAGTGTAAACCTCAGGGAGAAAGGGAATTAGATAAAAGAATCTGTGAGAGTGGGAATAATAATGTAAAGGGGAACAGACTGTGCTGGTGAGATCTTTTGGCCTAGGGTTTGAAAAGAATTCAGAATATGATCTGCAATCCTTGTCTGTCTTTGGGAGGGGGAATGGGAGTTTTTCCATTTACGGTAAAGTGGAGCGATAATGTCATTGCCCCAGCTGTTAAAATATTTAAAAATCTACTTCAAACTGATTATTTATTGCAGTGTTAAAGTATAGACCTTTGTGGTCAGAAGGAAGAGGGAAATTGGAATCGATCCCAAAAAGTGGGGTGAAAGCATAATTTATGCATCCCTGAGAGGAGATGGGACCACTAGTCCAGTCCGGCTCATTCTCACTCATTTTGGTAAGAGACTGGTTTTCAGGAAACCTCTTTGGATATAGCTAGAAGTGAACAAATCTCAAGGTTCAAATCTGCAGGGAGAACTTGGAAGCCTCCATCAAAGCCAGGGATAAACAGGATGCATATTTTGAGTCCAAAAGTGCCATTTGAGGGTGGCTTTGCAAAAGCGCGAGGACCATGGCATCCCAAGCATCTCTGGCATACACTTGAGACCTGACTCGTGTAAGGCAGTGTTTCTGTGGAAGGTAAATGGGCTACATGGGAGGTCCCATGCCCACAACTGCTTCAGAAGCTGCTTTTCCATCATGATACAGAGTAATCTGTGATCTTTGCCTACTTAGTCACTTCTATGTAATACAGCCTTTGAATTCATATCTACATAACACCTATTCCAGATCATAGAATCATAGAATCCTAGGTTGGAAGGGACCTCAAGGATCATCTAGTGCAACCTTTCTAGGTCAGAGCCCAGTCTAGACAAGATGGCCCAGCACCCTGTCCAGCTGAGTCTTAAAAGTGTCCCATGTGGCAGAGTCAACCACTTCCCTGGGGAGATTATTCCAATGGTTGACTGTAACTATGAACAGCAACAACTTTCAGTGTTAGGTAAATCTGTCTGAGATTAATTAATACTTGCGCTGATGTAGACCGCCAGTAGCCTTAGACAATCCGCTATCATCAGACTAACTTGGTTTCTCAGTTCTGCTCTTGTGGCACAGCCAGTTCCATTTCAGTGTATGTCAATTAAGGAGAGTGTGCTCTAATAATATTTTACATTTACACAGCACCTCTCATCCCAGAGTACTGTATAAATCATGTATATTCAACACCACTGACCTTTCACAGTCCCTGGAGAGCAGGAGAGCAACTGTTTTACAGAAGCAATACAAATGATAGGAATTTTTTCTTTATAATACTGGGGGGAACCCATTAGTTACAGAATGAATTATATGTTCCCTAGGCTACAGCTTCAGTTTTTAAAGACCTGTATTGAAAATTTCCTCAGGATAAGGTGCATGATCCTACATT